AAATAACTAAGATAAAATAAATTACAATGTTTTTTATTAACTATATGGTTAAAATCAAAATGAATATCCGTAAGTAATGCATTTGTACCACGTTGATTAAAAAATGTTCGTCGACCAGTTGATTCAACACTCATTACATATGTATATGATGTTGGTGTACTATCTTTAGTTTTATGCAATTGATGAACATCAATATCAGATTTTTTACAATCATCTATTAACCATTGACCATTATCATCATTACCTAAGAAACCAACAACAGATAATGGTAAATTCATATCCATTGAACGTAAATCTTTAAGAACATTAAATGGACCACCACCACCTGTTTTTGTTTCATGATAAATATTTGATAAAGAACTTTCTAATGGCCATCGATCAACAATTATAACATAATCGATAACAATTGTACCAGCACAGACAATACCTCCTTCATATGACATGATTGTGTATTATATGAAAATTATATGTTGACATTAAAAAAGATAAGATAACACATCTTTTCTTTTTTTTTAATTATTTTACAGCGTAAGATGCAAGAGAAAAAAAAACAAAGAAATGATGTGCTGTTCAGATATCAAACGATTAGTTGTTTGACTGTTTCACAGCTTTTATTTCTGTGAGAATCTTGGCTAATCGTTAACAATTCCTATCAGTGAGATGTGCATCCTCGTCCACACCCACATCTCCAAAAAAGCATGTTCACCCATTATCCTTACAGTGTGAGTCAAAAGTTTCGCCCCTATTGAAATGAATATTTTATTTTATTTTGGCATATAGAGGCCAGATACAACATATCTATATACAGATACTTTAGAGACATTCACTATGTACATAGTGTTTTTTAAGTAGATTAGAGATATATGAACTATGTTCTTGGACGAGAGAGAAACGAGAAGTTTTGAAGTTCTCATAATCTGAAATCAAAATCCAGAATATTCATAGATTTCGCACAATTTTATTGTGCTTCTACAACCTTCACAATATCCCACATTTCTTTGATCTTTCTAGACTTAGCTGATTTGTTTTGTAAACTCGGACTTCTGCCATTTTCTCTGGCATCTTCGAAGTTTTTACAGCACTTTTGTGAAATTTTTCCATTCTTGGAGTCTAAAAAAAAACGCTATATACATGATAAATATCTCTAATGGTTCTGTATACAGATATGTCCCACGCAAACTTTATATATCACAATAAAATAAAATATTCATTTCAATTAAGGGTGAAATTTTTGTCACGCACTGTTAGAAGTAATTCGTCCTAGAATTTTCAATTGACTCTAAGTGAAGTTCGTCTTTGTGTATCAGAAAAATAATTGCACAGTGGAAAAAAATAGTATTCAATACATATAAATAGAGAAAATGGTCTCTTGCTGTCTAGACAACATTTGGTCATTCATAATTCCGCATTCACAACAATACAAGCAGTAAAAAATCAACACAAAACATGTCTACATCATCATATGTTTCAGCTACAATTACAGCATCAACTCAAGCAGATGCTATTCAATGACGACGTCGAATGATTCAAAGTTATATACTCATCTGGAAACAACTGCAGCATGAACAATGGGCAGAAAAGTGGCCCAAAGTCAAGGGTGTACATACCGACCTTAGTAACATTTGTGAAGCTCTGAAACAAGGGTGTGGGTGTGGGCAGGGGTGGCGCGACCGGGGGGTAGTCGGGGGTGCGACACCCCCCCAATCTTCAAAAATTTCTGTTTTTTTGCTCAACAAAATCAGGAAATTTTCTTCCATTTGTCACCAAAAACAATGTTACACCCCCCGAAAAACTGCAGACTTCGTCTTTCTAGTCCAAAAAATTTCGCTACACCCCCCCAATGTTGGTTGACTCGCGCCACCCCTGGGTGTGGG